GATAGGCAGTGTAGGCGTAAAATAAAATTAAAGTTAAAATTTGTTAACTAAAGTACGATGAGTGCGATTCAGCACGAATCCGCTACTACCTACAGATTAGCGTTAATACTGTTAAACTTCGTACAAAAATGAACTTAAAGGGATACATATATATATATATATATATATATATATATAATCTCCCACTGGACAGGAAACATTTCGTTAAACACTTGGCGACAGCTGAACAAAAGGAAAAAGAGCATTTAGAAGGTTTTTCAAGCGTGAAATCGATGAAATCGAAAGAGTGATACGCAAATTTCAATTCGATCGTCTGCTTTCTCGTGGAACACGTTGAAAAGGGAGAAGCTAACTGACAGGATCGCGAGGTTTTGAAAAAAGGAGCGCCGTCCTACTATACTGAAAACTGCTACTTGAAACCGATCGGAGTCAAGCGTACGCGAACGTATTTTTTACCCTTTCAGTTTCATGCCTTTCCAGTCGATCAGACTTCACGAGTGTTTTTTTTTTTTTTTTTTTTTCATTTTTATTTTCTTTTTTTTCTTTATAAAGTTCGATACAAGCAGGAGTACGCTACGCTCGTTATCCGGGACTTTGAGTAAAATGAGATCTCAGCTTCAATTCTTTTACGATTTAATACACGTATCGTAACAGATTCTTCGTAATAACGGCGTGTTGAAAAGTGCGCCACCGCGGTACAAGATGAGAGAGTCGTAGGCACAAACACGTTCTTTCACCATCGGCACGTCAATTCCTTACTCTTGTACGTGTATAATACGTGTAGGTGGAGCGATTTGCCGGTACTGAAAACGGTCGGGGGACCGACGCGGCTCGACTATGCTCAGTCAGCAGTATTAACAACAGTTTACAGTGTATACATACACACATATATATATATATATATATATTCGACAATATCGACGAACGATGTTCGATTCATTTTGAACACGATGACCATAGACGAAATGACGATGAACGATAATGATAATAAAATAATAAAATAATATGACAATAATATAATATTAATAGTAACCGTAATAATAATAATCGTAAGAAGGAAAAGAAGAAGAGCAAAGTTAATCGTGGTAATAATAATGATAGTAATAGCAATAATAATAATAGCAGTAATAATGATGGCTGTGTGGTGGTGGTTTTTAATTTGATAACGACGACGGCGTGACATCGTGACGATGGTGTGCAGCACCGAATCTTGAGAAGCAAATCGACTTCCGGCACGCAGCAAGGTAACGGCCTCTCCTCTCCTCTTCACCCCCTCCCCCTCTCCCCGTTCCAGATTGGCTGCAGGTTTTTCTTGTCCACGGTCTGCTCGCGCACTGCCGCGCGACACCCCTCAGAAAAATTTCATCTGCACTTCTCTCTGTTACACGCGCACTGTATTGTCCCCCCCAAGATTGACGATAATAGACAGTCACTTTTGTCTTCCACTTTTCTTCTTCTTCCGCTTGAAGAAACAACAGCATCTGCAAATAAACCAAACACTAATAGGACTTAGAGTCGTCTCCTTTTGATCGACTTACGCTATGACACCAACATGCAGCACGACAAGGCATTCCAAAAAGCGGCGACAAACCGAGCTTGTTTTTTTTTTTTTTCCCCTCTCTCAAACGAAATTTCTAATGGCTAGAGTACTGTCCCCAAACGAACACTCGACTCGCGTGACTCACTTGTCAAATGAAACAACAACACCGAGGAACACAAGGAACTGAAAACTGATAATCCGAGGATTGATACACGGTATCGTCTTTTTAATACGTATTTTACAAAGGAAAAAATGGGTACATTTCGAGGTAATAGAATTTGATAAATCATAGAGTAGAACAGAGGACAAGTGAAAAGAGAAAGGAAAATTAATGAATATTGTATTTCGCTTTTATGTTATACAAAAGGAAACTTTTCAATGGCCACTTGTATTGAGATATTAAGCCAAGTTCAGGGATCTGTCTAGGATCGGCAGCGGACCTAGGAGGGTATAAACTTCGACGAAGGGTCTTTCCGCATCCACGACAAAACATTTTCGCCGGCAAACATTTCTTTCTGAAATAGGACAGAGAGGACATTTAACATGTATCATGCAAAAGGTGGTACTGATAGTCGTACCGAGATTAAAATTGTACAACGAGACAAGAACATTGCTAGTAACTATCTATCGGATTAATTAATTCTGTTCAACACGACAGCTCTCTATTTTCTATCATCAGTGTCTAAACCTCCAACGTAACACGCATACATGCACTAGTTACAAATGTGTGTTATTACTTCGACCGTTATTTATCTGTTGCTTATCTACTAGTTACACAAGAAAAGAAAAAAAAA